CAAAATTGATCAGGTTTATTATGTTTATTTTGTTTATTTTGTTTGTTTATTTTGTTTGTTTGAATAACTTTTCATACTCCTACACTTACTCTTACTCCTACTTTTGAATTTTTTTAAAAACTTACTCTTACTTCTACTTTCACATTCTTTTTAATATTCTTATTCTTTCGAAAATAGTTCTCTACTCCTTTCACTACTCTCGATTTTTTCATTTTTTTCCATATATTTTTCCATATATTTTTTCCTATTTTCATTTTTCTAAAAATGAGTCAAAATCGAAAAGACATAAGAAAAAATGTACTGCAAAATAATGGTAATAAATGTTAAATATTAAAATATTGTTTATTATTATTATTTCAAAGTAAGACATTATTTTTATTTTTTTTATTTTTTATAATTCTAGCATTGAGCAGAAAATTATTTTCAAAAATAGTTGAAATTCAGAAGGTAGTCGAAAAATTAAGAACTAATTAAAAATTAATGATGGAAGATATTTCGAAATTAAAAATTAGTATGGTAGCCAATAACAAAGAATATATAGATATAATAAATTTTTATTTTGTTTAAAAAATTACATAATATTTTAAATATTAATAAACTTTAATATAAATAGATAATGATCACTAACGTTGCAAAGAAGCTATTAACTAAAAAAATTTATTTGACATTCAAAGATTATAAAAAAGCAACCTCAGTATACATGCAACGGAATGATAGAAAATTTTATAATATATCTAATTCCCGTCAATGGAATTTGTATTATGAATGAAAATTAAGAAAAAAAGTAAGTGCAAAAGTGGAGTTTTATAATATGTAAATCTATTAATCTCAATGTATAATATTATAGTTAACTGTAAAATTATGAAGTAAACATAGAACACTATTAATCCATATAAAAAAGGTAATTTTTTATGTTTTTTGTTTACCTGAAATAAAAAACAAAGTGAAAGCAGATGAAATTTCCTTGTGAAAAAGCCACCCGACTATTTCTAAAACTTACAATAGTCTTTTTAAAAAGATTAATAATGATAAAAACTCTTTAACCTATATGATGCAAGCAATAGAAAAAGTTTGGTCAAAATGAAAGTATTCGACTTGTATACCATTTGGACAATATCAATTGCTGAAGTATTATTGAACCCCAATAATGGAGAAATCAGTGTGTTAGAGGAAATAATTGATTTTCTTAAAAAAAATATTATAAGTTTTTCACAGTACTATTTTTGTTTTGAATAATTTCAAAAAATACTAATTAAATAAAATATAGGCTAAAATAGCAAATAAAGAAATTGAAATTGAAGTGGAGGAGAATGTACAAGAATTATTTTTTTTGCCTTTGATCTTTTTACCTTTGAAAAAAGCTAGAAAAAAATGAAAAAATAAACCTGAGAATATTGATGATGTGATATTTTTACTTGCAGAAATTTGAAAAAATGCATTAAAGAAAGTACATGAAACTATTAATAAAAAAAGAAAAACAAATAAAGATAATAAAGATAATAAAGGTAATGATGACGATGATGATGATGATGACGACGATGACGATGATGATGATGAAGAATAATAAAAACAATACATATATAATAATGTATACAATTATATAGAATATTCTGAAAATTTATATAATAGAATATTCTAAAAATTTATTAATTATATAGAATATTTTGAACATTTATGTAATAGAATATTTCGAAAATTTATTAAATCAATAAAATTAATAAATAATTAACATTCAATAATAATATCGTTACAATATATATTTTATTTTCACAATTAATTATTTAGTTTTGGAAAAATCTATAAAATATCAAAATGTTTCGTATGTAAATCTCGAATATACCATTATAATAATTTCGTGAATATCTACGAAAATAAACAGAGATTTACGAAAATATATGCAAAAATTTTCGAAAATAAATAAAGATTTACAAAAATATATGCAAAAATTTTCGAAAATAAATGAAACAAAAAATTCTGGAGATTTACGAAAGTGTCGTATAACTCTGAAAATTTAACGAGACAAAAATTTTCAAAATATTTCGCCTTTAAAAATTTCCTGATGTTGTTCTAACCTTTCTTGAGACATTTGAAATTTTTGTTGTAAAAGAAGGATAAGTATATCTATATCAAATTCGTTTTTAATGAGAAATTCTGAAGACAGAGAAATTGCCGGAGGCGGGCATATCGTGTCTAAGGATTCGGATATCTTTTTCTCAACTGTGTCTCTTTTGGAGATAGTAGTATCGACATGACATATATCTTGGGAAAGATCAGTAGATTGAATATGGGCTGGCATTTTTAACCACTGTGTGACTGCTTCCAGCAAAGGTAAATCTTTTTCATCAATCGCATTACTAGATGAGTCAGAAATTTCACGCTCAGCATATTCTAAAATAGTATTGTTAGTAATAGGTATAGAATCAAAAAAGTCCTGAATCTCATCACTTACCTTTGACTTATATGATGGAAGAACTGGAACTATAGGGCAGTATTCAGAATTATCTAACTTCCTAGTCATTATTTCTTCTTGATTATCAAAACCACGACTATTATATGGCTTTCGGTTAATTTGATATAAATATTTCCAAATTCTTTTTTCTTTAGGTCTTACCAATTTTCGTTTGCTTTTTATAGTATACATCAGGAAATTTTTAAAGGCGAAATATTTCGAAAATTTTTACCTCGTTAAATTTTCGGAGTTATACGATACCTTCGTAAATCTCCAGAATTTTTTGTTTCATTTATTTTTGAAAATTTTTGTATATATTTTTGTAAATCTCCGTTTATTTTCGAAAATTTTTGCATATATTTTCGTAAATCTTTATTTATTTTCGTAGATATTTGTGAAATTATTATAATGGTATATTTGAGATTTACATATGAACCATTTTGATATTTTATAGATTTTTCCAAAACTAAATAGTTAATTGCGAAAATAAAATGCATATTGTAACGATATTATTATTGAACGTTAATTG